GGCGGGGGAGCGGAGGCGAGGGGGAGGCGAGGGGGAGGGGTGTGGAGAGGGGTGTGGGGCTTGGTGCGGGGCTTCTCGGTCTGGGCCGAGGTGGGCGGGGCTCCTTCTTGAAGAGCCACGTCTCCTTCATGCCCGCGGCCTCGAGCATCGAGAAGAGGATGCCCGCCGACGTCGGCGCCGCGAAGCGCGCCGCCAGCAGCGCGTCCACCCAGTCCAGCGGCGTGGGGAGCGCGAAGATGAACCAGAGCGCCACAAAGGCCCACGGGAAGGAGGCCGCCGTCATCGCGACGAAGTAGTCCTTGGCGTACGATCCGAGGCGCGTCTTGTCGATGTCGAACTCGTAGCCCACGTGCACCATGATGTAGCTGAGGCACCACATCTGGGAGGCGGCGGGGAGGAGGGCGGCTCGGTGGGGCGGAGGCTCGTACACCAGGCGCGGCGGCGGGGAGGGGGGGGGGGGGAGCAAGGGGGCCGGGGTGTCGCGCTTGCGGCGAGGAAGGGTGGAGGAGGCAGCGACGGCGCGGGGCGGGACGCGAGCGGGCGCGGGGGCGCGGCCACCGTGCAGATCTTCACAAAGAGCTTCCAGTCGTCGAGCGGGCCGTCGGCCGCCCAGAGAGGCATGGTCGAGGACCACGCGAGGCCGATGAGCAGGTTGATGGTGAAGATCGCCATCTGGATGGGGCAGCACGGCGGCTTCCTTGGCGGCGGCTCGACCACGACGCCAGGAGGGACAGGCTGATCATAGGCGCCCATATGCACGACCTGTGGGGCGGCGTGGAACGGGAGCGGACGTCGGCCGCGATTGCGGGCGTGCTGGGCCGTGTTGTGGCACTGCAGGTGTCTCAGGCGAGGCGACGAGCTGTTGGAGAGCGGCGGCACGTCTCACCAACAGTCGAGCACAGTCGGTGTCGACGGGCTGAAAACACAGGGGGGTCGAAAATCTGCTCTGGTTTTGGGGATATCTAGATTCAAGGCGCCGTTGGCTGATGACTACGAGGTGAGTGTGAAATGTGATATTCTAGGTCAGTTTAACGACTTGACCAGGTCCCCACCCCAGGTCCCCACCCCCCCTTACAAAACAATACGATAAAAACAAAACCGACTGCAGAGCGTATACGTACGTACGTACAAACACAAACAAACAGGGTCGCGCCATCGAGCGCCAATTTGCAAAAAAAAAACTAACAAAACAAATTGCTAAAAAACTACTGACAGGAAAAAAAGGGGAAATACTGAAAGGAACACTGAAACGTGAAGGCCGCTACTCCAAATGCAGTCCACACGACATTCGCGCGGCATCATGCCATGCTCTCTCCGACTCTCCGCCCTCATGAGAAGAACGGCGCGCCGCAGCGGCACGTCTGCTTGTTGCCCATGCAGCAGCCCTCGTACTCGGGGTTGAGCTTGGCGAAGCTCGGCTTCGGCGGCGTGGCGAGCGCGCGCGCGCCCGCGGCGGCGACGGCGGCCGCGTCGTGCTGCGCCGCCGTGTACGCGCGGAAGAGGCGCATCGAGACGGTGGCATCGGTGAGCGCGTCGTGCGCCTCGCCGTCGGCGCGCGCGGCCTCGGCGCCGAGCCACGCCGCGGCGTAGTGGTCCTGCCCAAAGTAGGTGTGCTTTCCAAACCGGGGGTTCCAGACCTTGAGCAGCGCGGCGAGGTCGACCTGCGGGCAGCGCGGGGCGGCTTTGGTGGGCGGGTGGGAGAGGAGACGGGCGGAGGGGAGCGGAAGCGCGGAGCCGAGGGCCGGCCCGCTCCAGCTCTCCCCCTCCCTCCTCGCCTGCATGGCATAGTCCTCTCCCTCGACCAGCCCGAGCCATTCGACGTCCTTGTTGATGTTTTGGCCGACGAGGATGGCCGCCGGCGGCAGGTTGGCGCGCAGCGTCGCCAGCGCCTCCTGCAGCGGCACCCCCTCCGCCTCGCACCTCTCCGCCGTCAGGCCGGTCAGCGGAGTCAGGTACGACGCGACAGGCCCCTCTTGCCGCACGAGCAGGTGGAGCTTGGGCGCCGCGTCGCCGTCCACGAGCGCGATCGAGCCGACCGCGCGGTCGTGGTGCTGCACGCCGGACGCCACGCACTCCACGTCGATCGAGAAGACCGGCGCGCCCGCGGGCAGAGAGACGACGACAGGCGGCGGCGCCTCCGCGGGAGCGGCCGGAGCGGCGGCCTGCGGCGGCGGCGGCGGCTGCGGCGCCGGCGGACCGCTGACCGAGACACCCTCAAAGGCTGCGGTGATCTCGGCATTCCGAACCGACTGCGCCGCTCGCTTCGCCTCGTTCTTGCGCCGGTTCTCCTCAATCATCTTGCGGACGTCGTCAAAGGCGCCGTCGTCGGCTGCGCTCACAACCACTGGTGCGGCAGTCGGTGCTGGCGCTGGCACGGCTGCCGCAGCAGTCGGCGGCGCCGTGCCTGGGAGGACGTGCGAGAAGCGACAAGCGTCACCATTCCGACAGGCGCCGCGGGCAAAGAAGGAGCAGACCGGTTTCGCAGCTGTGCCGACCGGTTTCGCAGCTGTGCCGACGGGAAAGACGTGCGAGAAGCGACAATTTTCACCGTTGCGGCAGGCACCCCGAGCGAAGAAGGAGCAGGGCGGCGAAGTCGTCATTGGGCGCGAGACTCACCAGGCCCAATCGCCAGAGAAAGAATTCTACGAATTTCACACGTGGAATTTTACAACCAAACTCCCTCACACACGACGCGACAGAGGAGGAAGCGACAAGGGAGAGAACGACGAGAGTGGGACGGCCGCGAGGTGGGAGAGAGTTTGTTGTTTGTTTGCGAGGTGGCATGAAGGTTGCAGCGAGAAGCGGCGAGAGACTGCGAAAAGAGATACGAAGAGGCAGACTCCCCAGGGTGGGCGACGGCTAGCGCATCACACTCCTCTCCTTAAAATCCCTGTGTGGTGGCGGCGTGCCGTTCTCCCATCCCTCCCTTGGGTTGTATGTTTTCTTTCTTTCTTTTCCCTCACACACTGGGCAAAGAATTTCCGCGCCCGACTGTCGTGTGGGTGAATCCCTTGTCAGGAGCAGGAGAGCCCACCTGTCCCCCTGATCGTCCTTCCAAAATCCTGCTCGTGCAGGTGTGGACCCTGTCCTCCTCCCCTATCCCTCCCTCGTTTGGATTGTCTGTTTTCGTTCTTTCTTTTGTGTGAACCCCGCCCCCCGCCCCGCCCCCCTCCGTGTCGCGATGCGCTCCCCGCTCCCGTTGTTCCCCGGTGTCCCTGATCGTCCTTACAATATCCTGCTCGCGCAGGTGGGGACCCACGGACCCTGTCCTTCTCCCACCCCTCGTTTGGTGTTTCCGTTTTATTTATTTATGGACATACTTAAGGTCAGGAGCAGGAGAGCCCCACCTGTGCCCCTGATCGTCCTTCCATAATCCTGCTCGTGCAGGTGGGGACCCACGGACCCTGTCCTCCTCCCGAAAAACCCCGAGAAACCCTTCGGGTCACTCCTCATCGCAAACCCTGTCAGCAGTCCTCCTCCGGGAATGTACGTAAGAGCCACATACATTGAAAAAGAAAGAAAACGGACAATCCAAGGGAGGGATGTGGACCTGTTGCACGCCAACCGTGAACCACCGCCCAGCCAGTCCGGACAAGGCGCAAAAACAGGCATTAGCGCCTCTCGCGTGGGCACTGACGGCACTGGCGCCAGTGTACAGACTGTATAGACTACACACACGTCAAAAATATGAGCAGCAGGAGCCAGTTTGGCCCCCCACGGCCCTCTGCACCGCGCCTGGCGCCAAGCCGCTGCACGCACTGCGAAGGCGCGGAGGTCGACTATCGCCGCTCGGAGAGGCGAGCAGCGCGGCGCGAGCCGGCAAAGCGGCGTGGATCCGTCCTTGTCCCCCACGAGGACTTGCCTCAGCCGCTCAGAAGTGGCCTGCAAGCGTGCGACCGGCGCTGGTGAGCGTGAGGGATGGGCTAAACTCCCTCTCGCTGCAGTGGCAGGCAGGCGGGCGAGAGGCACCTCTCGGAGAGGCGAGCAGCGCGGCGCGAGCCGGCAAAGCGGCGTGGATCCGTCCTTGTCCCCCACGAGGACTTGCCTCAGCCGCTCAGAAGTGGCCTGCAAGCGTGCGGCCGGCGCTGGTGAGCATGAGGGATGGGCTAAACTCCGTTTTGTCCCGTTTTGCCCCTTCTCAGCTGACTTTTCCAGCGCTGTGTGGCGAAGAACCGACCACGCCGCGCATGGGTGTGTTCATACTGGTGGACAACACCACCTAACCGCTGCTATTTGTGTCGCCGCGCCCCCAGAGCGGCGGAAGCCTGGCGCGGCGATGGCGCTGCGGCGCTGCGGCGTCGCAGCCGCAGCGCGTGAGGCGCGGAGCGTCAAGTCGCCTTCAACCGCTCCGGCCCGCTGCCACAGGGCCCAGGGATGGCGCTGAGACGCTCGGGTGTGACATGAAGGCCGTAGGGCGCGCGCTCAAGCTGCGTCCGCGCAACAGCGTTTTTGACCTGTCCGGGAGTGGTTCACGGCTGGCGTGCAACAGGTCTGTGGGAGGACGGCACCACACAGGGATTTTAAGGAGAGGGGTGTGATGCGCTAGCCGTCGCCCACCCTTGGGCGTCCGCACCTTCCTATCTCTCTTCGCAGTCTTTCTCTCGCCGATTCTCGCTGCAACCTTCATGCCACCTCGTCGCGGTCGGGGCTCCTCGCTCCCTTCTGGAATTGGCCGCCTCCTCGCGTGGGGTCGTAGTATCTCGAGTCTCGTGTGTCTGCGTAAAAAAGTTACGCGGCAGGGGTAAGGTTTCTCGTTACGCCTACACATACGGCTCTATGTCACATCGCAAACACGTGCGACTGCGAGCCCGCGCTGCGAACAAGTGTGCGACATTTCGCTACTGTACAGCGAACTGCAAATAACTGCGAACACCGCACAAAACCCGCAGTCCAGTGTCGATCCTCACTGTCGGGGGTGCGAATTTGCAAGCCATCCTGCAAAAACACACCTTTCAGTGCGCTGCTGCTGACCGCGTTCATGGCTGCACCGCCCCACCCTAGGCCCCACCGGCGAGCTGCGCCAGCTTGCTTTTGAGCTGCGCGACCACCTCGGGGTCGTTCAGCTCGCCCGCCCGCGCCTCGGCCGCGGCTCTGCGGAGTGGCGCCACGTCGATCTCGGGGTGGGAGCGCAGCAGCGAGGCCCAGATTGGCGGCTCCGCGGCGTGCGGCGGCGCCGCCTTGAGCAGGGCGACCACCAATGTGCGGCTTGGCTCACCGGCACCGCCCGCCCGAGGGGCGTCCTCGAGGGTCCACTCGAGCTCGTCCCTCGCCACCGCGCCGCCGAGCGCCCCTTTTAGCAGCGACTCCCCGCCAAGCGTCACCTCGAGCCAGGTGTCGCCGTCGCCTCCGCCACTGCTCCCGCCGCCGCCGCCGCCTCGAATGGCCACCCCAACCTCGCGCGCGCGCGTGCCGGGCGGGAGCGGCAGCCACGCAGTCACCTCGGCGCCCGCCTCGCTCTGCGCCCACCGGTACGACGCGCCCTCGGCGACGCAGCGGTGCGGCTCAAGAGGCCCGTGTCCTCCGCCCTCCACCGGCCAAAGCTTGGTGCAAAAGACGCAGCTTCTCCAGCCGGAAGCGCCTCGCGTGTTGGCCGCGCGGACCCGAGCGCGGTAGGCTGTGCCCGCCGCGAGACCACGCACGGACCACTCCGTCTCGGCGACGCCCGCGCACGCCTGCACCCAGCCCTCGCCGCCCTCGCCGCCCTCGCCGCCCTCGCCGCCCTCGCCGCTCTCGCCGCCCGCGCCCGCTGTGGAGATTTGCAGCTCGTACGCCTCCCGCGTCATGTCGTCGCCAGCGAGGTTGGGAACCCAGCGGATTGTCGCCAGATCGACGCCGCGTCGCGCCGCGCCGATGGCCGACGGCGGCCGGGGCTGCGCGTCGCACGCCGCGGCACCGAGTAGCGTGCGGCACCCTCGGACCTGCGCAGCGAGAGAGTGAGGGTTGAGGAGCCTGACGGCAGCGATGACCGGGAGGAGGCGCTAGATGCTACACCTGCAGCCGGCGTGCAGCACGCAGCGCGGCGAAGACGGGCCCACGCGAGGAGGTGCGCCTGAGCCAACGGGTCTGCCTCCGCACGTCCTCGCCGAGCCCGAGCAAATGGCCGGCGGCCGCGACCGCCGCCGTGGCCAGGAGCGAGAGCAGCGGCTTACGCAACGCGAGCAGAAACAGGACGGGAGCGGTCGCGACGGCGAGGCAGAGGAGGACGCGGACCAGAAGGGTTCGAGCGTTGCGTGAGGCAGCAGCCGACATTCTGAAACCAAGAAAACGTTAGCTCTTGTTTTCAGATCGATGAATCGGGCCTACGGCGACGTGCTGCTGAACACCCTCGCTGATACGGGAGAGGTGTTCGGCTCTGCCCTTTTCTCCTTCTTGTAAAATTCTATTTTCGCGCTTAGTAATGCAGAACGTACGCAAGTCTGGCAGCCTCACGATGCCCCTCGACTACGGCCGGTGGGATCGCCTCCCCGAGGATTCCGACGACGACCAGCTTGCCCTCACCGTGGAGTCGGCGCCGAGGCTCGCCGAGAGCCACCCGCGGGCGGCGGAGCACCTGCTCGAGCGGCAGCGAGCGTACATGACGTTTCTGCGTTGGCTGCGTGAGGTGGCACCCGAGCTGACCGAATCCGAGACCACACACCTGGCTCGATTCGTCGCAGTGCAGGACCGGGCGACATGCCCCGAGCAGCGAGAGCGGCACGACGCCATCGCCGCCTTCATGGAGGAGAAGGAGGGCTGGGACCCTCCGCTGGATGCTCTGGCCGAGCTCTGCCGCGAGGCGGAGGAGCGACGCAGGAGGGCCAAGGACCCGTCCGCCGGGCGCGTGCTAATGCTTGCGATGGATGCGCTGAACACGCTGGCCGCGTGTAAGGAGGAGGGTGGTGCACGCGTATTGTTCGACGCGATTCGTCGGGACGCCTCCGGCCAGGTCGCGGAACGGTATGGGGAGTTTGGGTATGCTAGGCCGCTGGCCCAAGCCAGACGGGACGCCGCCGTCGCCGCTGCCTCGGCCGCCGCCGAGGCTGAATTCACAGACCCGTCCGAGCTGCTCAAGAAGCGGAAGAAGCGCAGCCAACCAGCGGTCCCGTGGTGGCGGCAGCTCATGCGGGAGCCGCTCAGATTGCAGTCGCTGCTCGTCGCACTCGCAGTCTTGGCAAAGACCGCCTACGAACACTATTGCGAGCACTATGCGACGAAGACCACGGGCTGATGTGGTCGTGGAGCGGCGACACCAGTAAGACAGTTTCATGGAGGTCGATTTGCAGCAGCATATGTTTCGCAACACCCGACACGCTCTTCGAATCGTTCATGCCACCGGACGCTGTCTGGAGGAGAAGAAAGACTGGGTGGGTGGGGACCACTCCTTTTTTGACCCACCTTTTGGTGAGCGGGTTGTTTTTTCTTTGAATTTTGTTTTTGGCCCAATTATCCATCTCGTCGCAAGAGACGCGCTTGAGTCCACACCCACAAAGAACCCTGCACAAAGATCGCAAGTGGGCGGGGACCTGTTCCTTTCTACCCATCTCACAGTAGAGAGGTGTCGATTTTTCTTTATTTATTTTACGCGCTTGAGTGATGAGTTGTCAGTTTGACTGTGCATACAAGATACAAGAATCGCTCAGATAACTTGGCGGTGGGCCCCAAGTGCGCGCTTGGGCACCATCGCAGTGCTTTAAATACTCGTGGTGGTGGATCACAGGCCTGCCAACGACTTTGCAACTCCCCAAATGAGCCGGCCCCGACTCCTCCAGCAATAGGTAGCGGCTGGCGTTCAGGACATCTGCAAAAGCCCGACGGGCAGACCTCTCGGCATTGCAGTAGAAGTAGCTCGCAGATTTTCCAGACATCAAACTCTCCCGACTGGCGTTCAGAGTGGCGTTCAGCTTGAGGCAGCGCTCGTACTCTGTGGGGAAGGCGGCGCCAGCCCTTGGCCGCATAGCGAAAAAGTCGGTGAGGGGGCGTCCGAACGGACGACGACTGAAGTTGCATTCCTGTCTACAGTCAACAAGGATGGCGTCTGCGTGCCATTCAGCGCTGTCGGCCGCTCGCAATGCCTTCAGCAGCGGAACTTCGTCGCGCACGATCACATCTGGGTTGAGGCGGATCACCCAATCATAACCCGTGAACCAGCCCTTCCTTACAGCCTCGGCCACGGCGAGCATCGCGCCCGCCTGCTTGCCCGGGTTGGCGTGCTGCGCCACTCGCACCTTGCGGAGCCCATTGGCATGTGGGAAGGCTGTTTCTAGCAGCGCCGGCGTCGGGCGACTGTTGCCCGTGATGTAAAGCAGCACGTCTGCCTCTCGCAGCAGCTTCGAATTGTTGGTGGCCACGGGCCAGCACTTACTCATGTAGCTCAAGTGCGAGGCGCTCATGTGCGTCGTCACGAACAGTAGCAGCCTCATGGCCCGCGAGGGTTACGACGTGCAGTTGCTGCGCTGCGTCCCTGCGAAGTGCGACGTCCCTGCGGTTAATGACTGCAAGTGCTCCAAGTTGGAATGAACTCGCGGGCACAGGACGCGGCACAATCGGGGCACGCACGCCAGGCTACAAAGACGGGTGTAGGGAGGTAGTGTGTGTGTGGGAGGCAACCGATGCGTGTGTGTGTGTGTGTGTGTGTGTGTCACACACCAAGTCCAAGAGCTTATTGCAATTTACACAATTATGTCCTCGGATTGCAATTTGCTTCGCTCTGGCGAGACGTGAGGCGCTTGCGCCCAGCCCCGGGAGAAGGGGGGGGGGCGCATGCGTAACGCGCTGCTAGAGATGCCTTTTGGGGCGGCCCAGAGATAAACCAAACCTTCCGATGCCATGCGTGACCTAGTAGTGTGACCAGCCAGCTATGGGCGAGACGGCACTGTAAACACCGCTTATGCTCGAGCATACCCTTACCGGTACCGATGAATTACTCCTGAGTCAGCTCGAGAGCGTGCGTGAGTTAGTAATTTGCGCTGGATTTTATTAGCTTCGACGCCTCATGGTATGAAGTAGATGATGTGGTACAGAGGCCTACGGCCTGGCAGGGCGAGCGACGCACGAAGCCCAGCACCAACCCTCAGGCTCAGCACTAGGGAGCTGGCGTGTCGCGTGTGGCGAGAATCCTGGGACCTGGCGGATTCGCGCTACAGATTGGTGCACCACAGAAGAAGAATTCCAACCCACGTCTTTTGCGCCAACGGCAACGCCTTGCGGTCTCTTCCGTCTCTTCGGTTTCTTTCTTTTTCTATAGGTTTTGCTCAAAATACAGCTCAAATTCGATCGAGCCCCACATGCCACAAGCCGCACGCAGAACACTCGCGCTCTCTCACCTCCGGCCCGCCATCCTGTGTGTCCCGCTGCCGCCTCCGACCGCCGGCCACGCCGCTCGCTCCGTGAGCAGCTCGGGCCGCAGGTGTACAAAGACGCCGCCGCGGTTCCCTCGCGTGATGCGCATGCCGTCAGAGAGGTAGACCACCTCGAGCCAGCCCTCTCCGCGGAGCGGCAGCGGGAGGCCTATCGGCCGCCAGCCCCAGCGCTGACCGACGCGGAGCTCGAGCGTCGCGCGCCGGATGACGCTTCCCAGCCGTCCCGGCGTCCCGCAGTCTGCCTCTGGGGCAGTGTACTCGACGTCCGCCACCACGCGCAGTCGCTTGGTGAGCGCGACAATGTTGCGGAAGACCTTAACTCCGGACTCGTCGAGCATGAAGTTTGAGTACTGCGGCAGCGGCGCCAGCGCCTTTTGCGACGCCGCCGCCTCGCGGCTGTTCTTTTGCCAGCAGAGCTGCCAGTCACCCCAGATCTTGCGCTCATCAAACGGCGTGGGCCCAGTCGCCTCCTCGATGCGGCAGACGAGCGACTCGACCGTGCTGTCGGCCATCGGAGCGCCAGCCAGCACGGCGCGAAGTTGGAGGTAGCGCCGCAGTGCGAATGCTGGATCGGTCAAGGTGAAGGTCGCGCTGCACGCCGCGGCCGGCGCACGCGCTTGCGGCGAGATCGTAAGCGGCCGTGCCGCGCGAGTTGCGATGGCGAGGCAGGCGAAAGCGGGCAGCATCTCGACTGCGGCAGAGGTACGCGGAGAGGTGTGCTCCGAAGGAATTAAAAGAACTCAGCCCGCAGACGACGTAAGAGTGAGCGCCCACAGATGCAAAAGACGGGCGCGCAACGGCACTAACAACAATTGTGGTGGCGGCGTGCCGAGGTTCCGAATCCTAGAAATCGCACAGAGATGTAGGATTGCGAGGACTGCTGCTCACAATCCTTCGACTTCTAGGATTGGAGCGAGGCGCTCTCAATCGTAGAGAAAAGAAACGTAATCTTTAGGGTGACGTAACTGCGGGATGTGGCAACAAAGTTGGGACAACCAAGCATGTTAGAAGCCTGAGCGGGGCTAAGCACACACACGGGCAGACTGCGAGAGTATCAGCATGCCTGACTGTGATGGCCATGCTTGGCACACGACGCAACCCCCACTACCTCTAGACAGGCTTGTGAGAGTTTATAGAGCGCGATGGGGATGGAGGGTGGGAGAACCTCCGCGCCGCACTGGCGCCTGCGCGCCGGGCGGGGCGCGCGCCTGCGCCCCCGCCCTGACGCGGCCCCGCCGAAGAACGGCGAGAACAATGGACGGGGACGTCCAATATGCGGATTACCATTGGACCACCGCCGTAGTAAATCCGATTGCGATTGGACGCCCGTTGAGGATGAGGGAGATCACACTCCCTCGACTGATCTGAACTCTGCTTCCCCATTCCCACAGTCACCGGTGCTCAACACTTGGGTGTCAAGCTGCAGTAACTGCGGGATGTGGCAACAAAGTTGGGACAACCAAGCATGTTAGAAGCCTGAGCGGGGCTAAGCACACACACGGGCAGACTGCGAGAGTATCAGCATGCCTGACTGTGATGGCCATGCTTGGCACACGACGCAACCCCAAACTGCGGCTTGACACCCCAAGTGAAAGCGGCCGGACATAGGTGAACCCACCGAAGGCCGCGGGGCACAGCGCAGGGAAGCAGAAACTGTCGCATCCGCGACGGTCGTAGAGGGCATTGAGCACTGTGCTCATCCGGCCCCCAGAGGCACGTGCCGTATGTTGCTCACGGCATCTCCTCTCCGGTACAGCCAGCCTCCTAGCCCTTAATGCGAGGCGCAATGCAGCCAAGCACATCACAACTTGCTGTGCCATAGCTCCGTTGCTGGGTTCCTTTCGTAAGGGATTGACTAGCACCGTGTTCGCAAGTTACTTTCGTAGAGCTCGCTATGCACGGCCGGGGCACTGCGAGCTGTACCAACAAACGGCAGTCGCCAGCCAGACTGTCGCCAGAGAGAGCCGCACAGAGGCCGCGCTGGCCTTTGTGCGACCGGCAAAGGGCACCGACTGCGGGCCAAGAGGCACCGCCTCGGCCCCACGAAGGTCAGCCCAAGCTCAGAACCTCCGCGCCGCACTGGCGCCTGCGCGCCGGGCGGGGCGCGCGCCTGCGCCCCCGCCCTGACGCGGCCCCGCCGAAGAACGGCGAGAACAATGGACGGGGACGTCCAATATGCGGATTACCATTGGACCACCGCCGTAGTAAATCCGATTGCGATTGGACGCCCGTTGAGGATGAGGGAGATCACACTCCCTCGACTGATCTGAACTCTGCTTCCCCATTCCCACAGTCACCGGTGCTCAACACTTCCAGGCGAGCCAAAAAAAAAGACAAAAAGACTCATCTAAGCATGTCGGAGAACCGTCCAAAGGCGGGTGCAGTCGACCAAGGGACATGATCTGTCGACAGCACGAATTTGTGATGGGACACCATCGGGACCCAACAGTGCGATACTTGGCTATCGCACTGTTGACGTACCGGCGGCTAAGGCCGAGTAGCCGGTGTTCACAGAGCTCTGTGAACACCGGCGAGAGAATTTTTCTCTCGACGTTTCTTCTGCGAAGAAACGTTCAAACACTCGGTGTCGAAACACCTCTCCGACGCGCTCGACTATAGTCTGCGCTACCCGACGTCTGGATCGCCCGAGCTTGCCTCGAGTGCTAACAGGATGTCGCAGCCCACCGCAACCACACAGGACCCGCTGCGCGCAGCCGCCGAGCGCACCATCAACGAGGCCGTGGGAAACGGTTATGCCGCATTGATGCGGCTCGGCATGCAGCCGCAGCAGAACCAGAACCAGAACTACGAGGAGCAGTACGAGGGCGGCTACCACTACGGACGCGGCAGCCGCGGGCGCGGCAAAGGCGGCGGAGGCCGCGGAGGCCGCGGAGGCCGCGGGCCGGTTGAGTGCTGGACCTGCGGCCAGATGGGCCACATCGCACCACACTGCCCTACCCGCATCACGACCACCACTACGGCCAACCCCGCCCAGCCTACCACGGACACAGAGAAGAAGCTCGACACGGTGCTCGAGAGTATCACCAAGCTCACCGAGACGATGATCGCCAACCAGTCCTCGGTCCAGATTCAGCCCGACCCGAGCATTAATGGACACGCTTCTTCGGCACCTACCGCCCCGACGCCCCTGCTCATCAACGAGGACGCGATGGCCGACAAGATGGCCGACAAGATCGCGGGCAAGATGATCTCGTCCATGCAGCCCATCCTGGAGAAGCAGGGCGAGCTCCTCGCTATGTTTGCTGCCGGGCGGGGCCAGGCAACCCCGGCCCGGCGCCGCGTCTCCTTCGGCGGTGACGAGGAGGCGGCGGCGGTCGAGACCGTCGACCTGGGGGCGGCCGCGTCGTCGAGCGGCGGCCACGCCGCGGTCGAGGACGACGAGGAGGCGACAGAGGCGATCGCCGCCGCCGAGGCGGCGGCGGCCATCGAGGCCATCGAGAAGGCGCGCATCTCCGGTGCGGCGGCCGGGAAGCCCTTCAAGGTGCCACGCGCGAATGCCGCCAAGAGGGCGCGCACGTAGGGAGGGGGGCGCCCGTACAGGTGGGGGGTGCCTGCTAGTGAGAGAGGAGAGCCCGCCCCGGACCGAGGAGAGAGCTGCAGGGCGACTGCGTACGCCTGCATCCACCTGGGGGCGAGAGAGAGGGTTGGGGTAGAGACAGCACTGGGGATGCTGAGGGAGCGACTCGCAAGGCCACCTCGGGTGGTAGAGGACGCTGTTGAGTGGAATGAGGTGCGCATGTGCGGCCCTGAGGAGGACATGGGCTGCTTTATGCGCCAGTATGAGCGAGTGAGGGATGCGACTGTTGAGCACAGTGCGCAAGGGTGCGGGGCGCACCGAGAGAAGTATGGTTGCGGTGCGCGCCATGAAGGTACTGAAGAATGTGCGAGAGGCACGTGGGAAAAGAGAAATGAACCCGCTGGAGGGCGGAGGGAGAAACCTATCCACGCGCTGTGGCGCCATGTTCGCCGAAAGATGGCTGGATTTCTTTTGCGGGAGATGTGGGCTATCCAGGCCTTCGTCAAGGAATTTTGCCTCCCGAGGGAAGGAGGAGAAAAGACTCGGGTACAGACTAAGGCAAAACGATGGGTAGCCGAGCTCCACACGCTCGCACAACCGTGGATACGGGCGCTCACACGAGCGGTGCGCATCCCAGCGCTTGAACGACTAGCAGACCTCATACAGAGTGCTGATGAGGTGGAGGCGGACGAGATCTCGGGCGATCTCGGGCGAGATGTCGGACATGGACTCGATGGGATCTGCGTGAGCTGAGGTCGATCATCACGCCGGCGAGGCTCAGGCGAGGCGTGGGGCGCGAGGGCAGCGCCACCGCCGCCTACTCTCCTTCATCTCGAGGCGAGATCGCGATCTCGGGCGATCTCGGGCGATCTCGGGCGAGATGTCGGACATGGACTCGATGGGATCTGCGTGAGCTGATGTCGATTATCACGCCGTCCAGGCTCTGGCGAGGCGTGGGGCGCACTGGCAGCGCCGCCGCCGCCTACTCTCCCTTCAGGCTCAGGCGAGGCGTGGGGCGCGAGGGCAGCGCCAGCGCCACCTACTCTCCCCTCATCTCGAGGCGAGATCGCGATCTCGGGCGATCTCGGGCGATCTCGGGCGAGATGTCGGACATGGACTCGATGGGATCTGCGTGAGCTGATGTCGATCATCACGCCGGCGAGGCTCAGGCGAGGCGTGGGGCGCGAGGGCAGCGCCAGCGCCACCTACTCTCTCTTTCGGAAAGCAGCACCGCTGCCTCTTTCGGAAAGCCAGATGGCGTCACACTAGGACCGGAGGTATGGCATGGCGCCTACCTCGATGGGGCCTCTTTCGGAAAGCAGCACCGCTGCCTCTTTCGGAAAGCCAGCACCGCTGCCTCTTTCGGAAAGCAGCAACGCTGCCTCTTTCGGAAAGCAGGCGGTGGCCAGCGTAACGGATCGCTGGCGGGAGGGATGGCGCGGAGCGCCTAACTCCCAGTGCGGCGCTGTGGGCTTGAAGCCGGCGTCGCAAGGTCTCGTTACACGAGTACGTGCTTCGGCGCGGAAGGGTGGGCGACAGACAGCGAGCCCGGGGAGGTTAGCTGTAGCCCGACGCCCGCACGAGGGGCCGACGGCCGGGGCCCAGCGGTGAGGCTGGCCTGGAGGGACGGCCGGAGCGCCCAACTCCATTGCGGCGCTGGCATGGAGCCGGCGTCGCACGGTCTCGTCACACGAGTACGGGCTTCGGCGCGGAAGGGTGGGCGACAGACAGCGAGCCCGGAGAGGCTAGTCGTCGCCCGACGCCCTCGGGGGCCGACGGCTGGGTGCCAGCGCTATGGTGGCGCTGGCCAGGAGGGACGGCCGGAGCGCCCACCTCTGGTCCATCTCCCTTCATACCGCGACACGGGCCACTGGCGGCACGACGCGGGAAGGGCGGACAGTGCACGGTATATGCACTCCACACCCGCAAGGGCATGTGCCGTCCGGAGAGGCGGGCGTGGTGTGGTGACTCGTGCGGAGCGCGAGGTCGTGCGGAGCACGAGGTAGTGTAGCTCGAGGGAGAGCTAGGTACTACCAGTAAGGCCATGAGATGGCGTAACGCCGAGGGGCGTGGAATATGGGCCTGTCCTGGTGCGCGGAGCGCGACGGGCCCGTAATGGGAAAAGGGGGGGCGCCCGCTCGAGGGAGCGAGAGGCGCAATAATCCCGCGCGATGGCGCGCGGGCCACGACCCACCCACCCAGTAGGGACATGCAAGGATGCCGGAGCGCGGTAGTCGCTGGGCGTCACGCAAGCACCGGAAGGGATATGCACGCGCCAACGCCCGTCCAGGACGGACGGAGGCGTTAGGACAACGCAACCCTAACCCGTAGCCAAATTGGCACTCGGGCGTGTGCGCGCGTAGACACTACTCCTTGCTGTGTGTCCCTACGGCATATTAAGATGCCGATAAATGCCTCAAGAGCCGAGTGTGGGCCGGAAAGCCTAGCACTCTCTCGCCAGGAAGCATCGCAACACAAAGAGCTACGTGAAATGAGCCCACGGCTCTACTAGTGTAGCCAAACGTCAGATTCGACTGGAGAGTACCCGGCATGGGCCGGGGAAAACCATCGAGTGCACGATGTTCACACCCTGTACAGGGGAATCCTGTACTGGGGACGGTCGCACGAAACCTTTACGGATGGTTTCAATGCTCGACGTCTCGTGCCCGACTCTGACTCGCGCGACTGCTTTTGGCTGCTCGTTCCGCATTCTTCTACCCACCACCATCCCCTTATCTCCTCCAATGTCTGAGCAGTCGAACCGTATGGCAAGGCCAAGCTGCTCGACTTGAGGGGACGAGGCCAGCATTAGCAGTAGTGTCGCTAGCTAGCGGTGGGATATGCACGCGCCAACGCCCGTCCAGGACGGACGGAGGCGTTAGGACAACGCAACCCTAACCCGTAGCCAAATTGGCACTCGGGCGTGTGCGCGCGTAGACACTACTCCTTGCTGTGTGTCCCTACGGCATATTAAGATGCCGATAAATGCCTCAAGAGCCGAGTGTGGGCCGGAAAGCCTAGCACTCTCTCGCCAGGAAGCATCGCAACACAAAGAGCTACACCTCTCCGACGCGCTCGACTATAGTTTGGGTGTCAAGCTGCAAAGCGTGCATTACAGGCTTCTCGCCTGCGGGTGCTGAGCGCTTCGCTGACTGGCACATGGACATGGAGACCCCTCACCGCCCACGCTGGTACGAGATGTCCTTCATCGCTCGCGGCCCGGCCGCCTACGCTGCGCACGTGCCGTCTTCCTCGCGTGCCGCGGCCTGCGACAACAGCGGCGGCGGCGGCCTGCGCGATGTCGCCCGCGTCGCCCGGTCAAACGCGCTGCACGAGGCAAACCGAGCGGTGGGCGTTCTCCGCGAGGCCAACCGCGCCGCGGAGGGCGTGCACGAGGAGGTGCGCGGCCGCGTCGGCATGCTGCCAGCGCCGCTGCGCGCGCCTCTCTGCTGCGCCTGCTGGACGTTTGACGGGCTTCGAAGCATGCTGACACAGCCGACGACGCTCGAGTTCGCCGGCGCCTTCATCTTTGGTGAGGCCTTTGGCGCGCTGACTGACGTCATCGGGCTCTGCATCGTCTCGCCGCTTCTCGCGGCGCTGGCCTCTCCGCTGCGGCGCCACGCCTTCGTGCTCGACCGCAGCCTCGGCTTCCTGATGCTCGTCACGGGCGAGAAGTGGGCCGACGGCAGCGTGGACGCCTACGCCTCGATCACGGAGGCGGAGGCTGACGGCGCCGTCGGCTTCAAGTACAGGCAGCTCCGGGAGGGCGTCGTGACTTTCATCGTCACCATGGCGACTTGTGCGGCAGCTGCCGCCACCCTCGCCACGCCGCTCCCGGCACACAGCCGCCGTTGTTGGTAGGTGAGCACCTACTGGCTCTTCCGCCTCCTCGAGGCCTACGCCACCTCCGCCTCCTCCGCCTCCTCCGGCCGCGGCTCCTCCGGCCGCGGCAGGGAGGCGCCCGCCTCGCGCTCCGCCAAGCTGCGTGCGCAGAAGGGCGGGACGGCCGCGCCGCCGGCCGTCGCCATGGTGTGGACCGGCGACGGAGGCGCCACGGTCGCGCGCCTGCACGGCACGGGCCTGCCGCAGGGCGTCAGCGCGGGCGACGACCGCGCCGGCGACGAGGTGCCCGCCCTCCTGGCAGAGCTCATGCAGCACGGTTTCCGGATCGCGTCCACGACGGCGCTGCCATCCCACTACGGCGAGCCGCCCGAACTGATGGTCACGCTTTGTAGCGAACCGGCGTAGCGCGTCCCAGGAGTGTTTTGTCCGCTTCTCTTTTTCTCAAACGATATCTCTCTCGCTTCAAAAATATCTCTCTCGCTGCTCTCTCTCCGTCTCTCTCTCTCCTCTCTCTCTCTCTCTCTCTCTCTCTCTCTCTCTCTCTCTCTCTCTCTCTCTCTCTCTCTCTCTCTCTCCCCCCCCCCCCCCAGCTGCAGCTCCCTCTCCCTCTCTCTCTGCCTCTCAGGATCCCTCGATCCCTATGCGAACGTACGTCGGCGTGAATGGCGTCTCAAATTTAAAGAAAAAAGAAGTTCCAGGGGCCTGGGCGACACAGCGGATACACAAATGCGTCGGATCGAGGTGACAGACTTTGGCGCCCGAGGCGACAACAACTCCGACGCCACGGCTGGCTTTGAGGCCGCCATCGCCGCCGCGGCGAGGCACAGCACCGGGCACACCCTCATCCGCGTGCCGCCGGGCACGTACCGCGTCTACCCGCTCAGCCTCGCGTCGCGCATGACGCTGCACCTCGCGGCGGGTGCCACGCTGCTCGGCATGCCCTTTGACGTCGCCGCCAGGCCGTGGACGCAGCAGCCGGCGCTTCCGAATTGGAGCCGCTCGAGAGGAGGGGCGATCCTGCTCCGCAACGGCAGCGGGGAGCGCGTGCTGGTGCAGCGCAACGAGTCCAAGGCGCTGCTGCACGGCGCGGACCTGGACGACGTGGGAGTGTCGGGGGAGGGCCCGTCGAGCATGATCGAGATGCACGGCTGGGACTGGTGGGGGAAGCGGGAGACGGGGGTGGAGCGGGGGTGGAACGGGACGCGGCCGCACCTGATGCGGTTCGTGCGCAGCAGAGGCGTGCGCGTCATGGACGTCCAGCTCCTCAACTCGCCCTACTGGAACTGCCACTTTTGGGCGTGCGACCGCGTGCACGTCCGAGGCGTCCGAGTCGTCTCGCCGCTCGACCAAGTCAACACAGATGGCGCATGCCCCCCCCGCACCGCACCACGCGCACTTGCTCACTCGCCCCTCACGCGACCTCCTACAGCCGCAGCCTGGAGATGTGAGAGATGATGAGGTGAGAGAGAGACGCCACGAAACACGCGCGCTGCAAGCTCTCCCCGACTCTACACTCCTACACGGAGATAGGCTGAGATAGGCTGGGACCCAGACTCGTCCACCAACGTCCTCATCGAGGACTCGAGCTACGAGGGGGGGGACGACTGCGTCTCGATCAAGAGCGGCTGGGACTGCTTCGGCGCGGCGCTGGGCCGGCCGGCGGCGAATATCACGTTGCGCAACCTCGCGTGCAAGGGCCCCCGCGCGGGCCCCGCGTCTCTCGGAGCGGACCGGCGGGGCGTCATCCGCGCTTCACTCACCCCGGGGTCCGTCAACTCCACAGGCATCGCCATTGGGTCTGAGCTGAGCGGCGGCGTCCACGACGTGCTCGTCGAGCGGATCCGTTTTGTCGACGTGCGCCGCAAAGGGCGCACCCCTCAGCACACGGCCACACGCAGCCCACGACTCATACAGCCATTCGCGACGCCTCAGGCGGGACGGATGGCGCACCTAAAGACGGGACGCACGCGCGGCGGCGCCGTCTCGAGCGTGCGTTTCGCCAACCTGACCGCGGTCGGCAGGATGGACACGGGCATCGTCCTCGACGCAACCTTCAAGCCAAACAGCAAGTGCGGGCGCGGCTGGGCGCCGCGGCCCACGCACATGTCGGACATCTCGTTCGTCGACATCGACGCGTCCGGCGCGGCCATCAGCGGCTACTCGTTCGACCTCGGCGCGCGGCACAAGGAGCCGGTCCGCTCGTACGTGAGCGCGATGGAGCTCTTTCTCAAGGACGTCCACCTCCCGCGCGGCACGCGGGGCAGCTGGCGGTGCGGCTACGTCACCTCGCTGCTGGCGAAGCGCGTCTCCCCAAAGCCGCGCGGCGACGAGTGCGGCGTCTTCACGCGGAGACGCGGCCTGAACCAATCTCTGCGGCTCGGCAAGGTGCGGCGGCGGAACAGGACGAAGGCAGGGCGGCTCCGAAGCTGGTAGGTAAGTAAAAATGTGCTGCTGCTGGCCACATTCGCCCGCCCTGCGTGACTCACATTCGACATTGTGGTCTTTTTGGGATTTGGCCCAAATCGACCAATGAAAATCCGTAGGGTCGCTTAACGGCACCCCCGCGCGGTGCCGAGCGGCCCAGGGCCGGCCAAGGGACCAAACTGGACGGAACCGTGCCGGTTTTGTAGTAGTCTAACCCTCAAACGATTTCTGACCTCTCCCGTGGCCCCGGCGGGCCCCGGCGGAGGTCCGGCGCGGCGCTCCAAATCCGCACTTCGCGAGCTTCTACGGGAGTTCACGCGGCCTCTCCGCCTCGTGAGGCACACCCCACACTCACCGCGAGTCCTGGGGCCGTGGGCGGACCTTTGGCCGCGGCGTCCGGAGCTTTGGTCGTCGAACATCGGCCGCCAACTAGGCCATCGAGCGAACGTGTCCGGAGAGGCTCTCGGACGGGTCCGGCAGCGGTGCCATGGACCTAGAAGCTCGCCCCGGCGGAGCACTCACGGCTCGACCCCCACCCCTGGCCACCCAGACGTACCCTTGGACAGCCGTAGGGGCTCGCATGACCACGTTGGCGCCCGCGACGACGCCCTCCCCGACGACGTCGCATCTCGGGCAGACAACTCGCTTCCGAACTCGGGCGCGGCGGCGCGGATGATCATGGTTTGGGACTCTGAGCGGCGGTGGGCGCGGGCGATGGCGCGCGGGCGGAGCATCTTCGGCTGTCATTACATCTTACGATGTGATCTGAAACACAAGTCGCCCTCGCGGCGCATCTCAGCTAATAGCTCAGCCATCACGGCATCAGCATCTCACCCCGAGCCCGACCCCCGGCTCCCGCCGCTCCCCCCCCTGTCCGGGGTCCGGCTCCGCCGACCGCCCCTTCCACCGCCGGCGCCGCGCCGCACGCGCACCCCTGCGTCCACTCGCTCGCGTCGTCGCCGCGCACGCGCCGCGGGTCGGCGAGGTCCCCTCGGAAGAACTATTCTCGTCGTCAATGTCATTCCGATCAATCATTCTCCCAATGTGCACTGTCCACTGAGACTGTGAGCGGTGACCGCGTCCCTGCAACTGCATACTGCAATAGAACCAAGGTACGGGGTGTGGACCCTGAGTTGCACGGGGTTGTGCGCCGGGCCCTCCTGCTCGGCTCCAGCCAGTAGACAAGTCTTGTCATCAACAGAGTTCGAAGGATCTGACCTCAGGGCCGATGTGACCAAGCGCTGGTAGCGTGGTTTTACCTCACACCCATGGTCCCACAGTAGGCCGGCAGTCGCCGAGCAGTGTCGCTCACACAAGCCGCAGCACAAGTGGCTGAGGGCCAGTGAGGGCGAGCCCATCGCTGTGACAGCTGTGGCAGCCGCACAGTAGGCTGTGCCATCTGTGCAGAGCGTGTGAGCAGCAGACTGCAGAGCCAGAGGAGCTGCTCTCCAGGCTTCAGGCGCAAAGAGCTGCATGCCACCGAAGGCGCTGTCGAGGTTCGCCGTAGCTTGGCGAAATCCGGGGACGCCGCCACCGACGAGCGCGCTGGACTTTTCACTCCGGACAAAGACGCCTAGAGCTAGACGGCACAGTCGGCACGCACACACGAGTCACGCGACTCACGAGCCGCGGTCGTCTAACCCGTCATACTCATACGTCATAGTGCTTAGTGGCGAGGCGCGGGACCGTCTGTGGCGAAGTGAGTGGGTCGCGTCCCCGGAATTCCGTCAACTCACGGTCCACACCCTTTACAAGAAGAATTCGCCAGCCGCTGCATGCGACACAGGTTACAGGATCTCGTTCCGGCGCCGCCCTTTCCGCCCTTGGCCTTGCCCCTTCCCCTCCTCCCCCTAGGCCCCCTACGCCCTGGGGGGAAAACCCCGCAAGGGGCTCTCGGGAGGCCTCCCGGGCCGGGCCCTCGACAAGGAGAAGCCCCCCCCCCCCCCCCCCCTCGCCATGGCCCTCCGCAGGCTCTCTCTCCCCTCTCCCCTCTCCCCTCTACCCTCTACCCTCTCTAGGGGAGCATCGCCTTGGTCGGCGCCTCCGGGTCGCTGCTGCGGCGCATGTACACGCAGCAGAAGGCGAGCACCGCCAGGACGGCGGCGGAGCC